GATTATGGGGATTACAATTCAAGATGAGATTTGGGTGGGGACACAAAGCCTAACCATATCAGGAGGCAAAGTTTATCTTTCTAACTCTTCTAGTGAGCTAGCTCCTGCTGGGTTCCCTTCTATTACTTTTTTGTCACCCCCTTTCCCATACCCTCACTCCTCCCACCATAGAAATCCAACAGGATCTACAATTACTGGCAATGGCCCAGGCTTCAAACTTTTCCTTCAATATCCTACCAAACCTTACCAGTCCTGTATCCTATCCCATCAGGGCTAGATTTTCAAGATAAACCAGAGGTCTTCAAACTTCAGCATGAATCAGAATCCCCTGGAGCACTTGTTAAAATACAGATTACTGGGTCCCATCTTAGAAGTTCTGATTCAGTAGGTCTAGGGTGGGGCCCGATAATTTGCATTTTTTATAACTTCCCATATGCTGCTGATGCTGCAAAGGCCACATTTTAAGAACCACTGGAAAGAAACTAACGCAAAACCAGGGGCAGCAGGTGATAATGCTGAATCGATGAAAGGGATCCTCAGTTCATTTTGACTCAGCCCCTTCACAGAGTTTCTGATTCAATTGGCACTGTCTGGATTTGGTGAATCCGGTATCAGTTTCCTTCTGCTTCACCTTGTCTTCCTCCTCCAACTTTCTTTTTTTTTTTGAGACGGAGTCTCACACTGTCACCCAGGCTGGAGTTCAGTGGCACAATCTTGGCTCACTGCACCCCTCACCTCCCAGGTTCAAGCAATTCTCCTGCCTCAAGTAGGTGGGACTACAGGCATGCGCCACCACGACCAGCTAATTTTTGTATTTTTAGTAGAGACGGGGTTTCACCATGTTGGCTAGGCTGGTCTTGAACTCTTGACCTCAGGTGATCCACCTGCCTCAGCCTCCCAAAAAGCTGGGATTACAGGCGTGAGCCACCACGCCCGGCCCCTCCTCCAATTTTTTTTTTTTTTTTTGAGACAGAGTCTCGCTCTGTTGCCCAGGCTGGAGTGCAGTGGCCAGATCTCAGCTCACTGCAAGCTCCGTCTCCCGGGTTTACGCCATTCTCCTGCCTCAGCCTCCCAAGTAGCCGGGACTATAGGTGCCTGCCACCTCGCCCAGCTAGTTTTTTTGTATTTTTTAGTAGAGACGGGGTTTCACCGTGTTAGCCAGGATGGTCTTGATCTCCTGACCTCGTGATCCGCCCGTCTCGGCCTCCCAAAGTGCTGGGATTACAGGCGTGAGCCACCGCGCCCGGCCGATTCTCCGACTTTCTGATCTTATTTTTCAGATAGTTCTCAGGGCTTCTCCACTTGAGACTGACTGTACCATCGTTCTCGTTTTCCTATCACAAAGCCACAGTTTCAGGACAAAGCCCTTTCCTGATCTCTTAGCTCCATTTCAGTGCCCTCTTCTCCCTCCCTGCCCCTGAGTTGCTTGCTGCTCCTCTATCCAGTATTAGCATCCCCCACTCCAGCAGTCAGTGACCTGTGGAAAGCTGGGCTCCAATTAGAGCCCACTCTTATCTAGTAGGGGTAGCCATTTGTGCTCCCAGGCCATAGAGTCTGGCTCCACAAACATTGGCATGCTAATGACAGTCACCTGCTCGCCCCTGGGAAGTCTCTGTTTGTTTCAGCTTCTTTAAGGACATGGAAATACTGAAGCCACCTCATTTACATGCTTCTGTTCATTCCTTTACTCAACAAACGTTGATTGAACACCTGCCAGACATCATGCTGGGCCCAAGAGACCCCACAAGGACACATCAAACATGAGCACATACATGTTCACAGCAGCACCCAGGAGTCCCAAATGACTCTTCATAAAGGGGAATCTTTTGGCCTCACTCATCAATGAGGACAGACATTCAAGGAAGAAAACCCACGAACTGACCACTCATGAGCCCTCTTGCCTCCTCAGCCCTTCCATCTCCCCTGTTCCTGAGAAGGTGGCTCAGGACAAAGACCGAAAGGCATGATCTCAGGCCTGGCACGGTGGCTCACGCCTGTAATCCCAGCACTTTGCGAGGCCGAGGCGGGTGGATCACGAGACCAGAAGTTCAAGACCAGCCTGGCCAAGATGGTGAAACCCTGTCTCTACTGAAAAAAAAAAAAAAAAATAGCCGGGTGTGGTGGTGGGTGCCTGCAGTCCCAGCTGCGGCAGAGAATTGCTTGAACCCGGGAGGTGGAGGCTGCAGTGAGTAGAGATCGCGCCACTGCACTGCAGCCTGGGCGACAGAGCAAGATTCCGTCTCAAAAAAAAAGGAAAGGCATGATCCCAGAGAATTTCCAAATCTCTTTATTGAAATGAGTGTTCTGATTCACACGTCTCAGTTGCTGGCCCACTGCACTGAGATAAGGTATGTAAAGCTAGTGAGCTAACACCGCTCTACACATTGACACACATACACTCACCATGCACTGAAATACACTGACACACCAACACATGCCAAAACACACACGGACACACTGAAACACCGCAAAACACACCAACAGGCACACATGGACACACACCGGCAGACACAACCACAAATACAAACACAAGTAAACCCATACCAACACACACATTGACACACAGATGTACAGATACACAGCTAGCACACACTGACAATACACACGAACACACCGACACATCTACTCACACATCAAGACCAACACACACAATGACCCACACCCCATGGAAGGAGGCTGGAGGCCCAGGCCCCAGGAGGGGCTTGTAGTCACAGGGGACAGGTATTGGAGGAAACAAAAGGTCCCAGAAGACTTGAGTTAAGCACTTGGTTCAGGTCTTCGAGGTTCAGCGTTTTGGAAGAGGAGGCCGCAGTGAGGTTCTGGTAGTCTCCAGGAACCGGAGGGCCGAATGGGGCATATGGATGAGACACCAAGGATTCCGTGCTCAGGTGCCCCCCAGCGCTGGGCCGGTAAATTCGGAGCTTCAATCCGCGAGGAGTGCTAAGGCGGGCGGGGCAGCGCGTGGGGGATTCCTGGGGAGCCCCGCAGCCCACCAGTCCCCTCCCGCTCTGGCAGCAGCTTTCTGCTCTTGCTTACCAAATTCTCCCCTTTTGTCCCACCAGCACCCAAATCCCAAGTCCAGATCGGGGCTAGTGACCTCGGGCCCTTTCAGTACAACTCGCCTTTGCCAGGGAAGAGCCCTGTCCCAGACACCCAGCCTGGAAGCCGCCAGTCACCTCTGACTCCCCGCCCCCATCCGGTAGGGGCCCAAGCTTCACCGTAGTTCCTCAGATATAGCCCTGGTCCCACGTGTCACTGCCAACCCAATCCAGGGCTCAGGCCCTGCCCCAAAGCTCCAGAGGGTCTGAAAGACTCCAGCTGCCCCTTTTCCTTGCCACCGCCATCCGCCCTGTGGCCTATGCCTTCTGTCTCACGGAGCTCCCCTGCACTGAACCCTGATTGTGCCAGGCTCTTTTCTTTAGGCCGCTCCTGGGTCTCCAGCAAAATGAAGGCGCACAGTGGCGCTCCCTGAATACTTGGCTCTTCATGACTGTCCTTACTGCTATTCCCTCACTGTGTCTCTACTTCCTTATCCCCGCCCCCAACGCACGCTTCCGAATTCTCTGCCCTCAGCTTAATGGAGAGCCTCCTGGCTGCGAGGCCCTACACCCGGCCCTAGGATGCGTTTGCTGAGTCCTTGTTCTCCAGGCGCACAGGGTACATACATAAAGGGCTTCCCGAGAGAGTGTGAGAAGCTCCATCCAGCAGGTGGAACCAAGTGCCAGGCATGCTCTTCTTTGGCCACTCCATTTTCTTGTCTTCCCTGACTTCTCCGAGACCAGGGCCTCTGGGTCTTCCTCTCTCTCCCTGGTTCCTACTTTTCTTTTTTCCTCTCTCCTGCCTCCCCCTCAGCTGCTCCAGCCTTGGGCCTTTAAAGGGTCATCTCCCATGCTCCACTGGGGCCCCCGCTTGGGCCGGGGTTTCCTCCATAGGCTTGTCATCCCCTCCCCCATCTGGGGTCCCTCTGGCGGGCCCAGGTCTCTCTCCCACAGCAGGGAACCTGCCCTTTTGAGGAGTGGAATGTACTGTCCCTCCCGCTGGGGCCTCGGGCATGCCAAATCTGCCAGCGTGCTCCAGTGACAGGGAGCTAGCAAGAGGCCAGTCCCAGGAGAGAGGAGAGGGCGCCAGAGCCGGAGAAGTGGAGAGGTGCCTACGAGAGAGGACCCGCGGAGGTGGGCCAGGGGGATAAGGAGGGCGGGCGGGCACACTCCTGCCTTCGGAAGTTCTCTCCTCTGCGCCCTATTGGCTGCCTTGTCCCGGGCTGAATGAGGGTCAAGGAGAAATCAGGGGGCGGGACAGAGTGACTGGAGGCCGCTCCCCGTCACCCGCCCCTCCATCTCGCTCCATAGAGCTGGGAACCTTCATCCCCAGCCCCTCCTCTAGTACTAGAAGGGGTGGGTGGTCTGAGTCTCTGGTCTTGCTGAGCGTCTAGGGCTGGGTCGGAGAGAGGAGGCGTGGGTTCCGTCTGTACTACATACCCAAAGGTGGTGAGCTTGGCTCCACGAAATTACAGCCCACAGCACCCAAGGCTTGGAAACCCCTGGGCAGAAGCAGCGTCTCAAGACCTCTAGCCTCGGACCCCACATGCCACAGCTCAGCTCAGTTGCGGGACTGCAGTGCGGCTCCCCCCACCGGCCCCCTTGCTAAGCTCTACTGTGGAGCGGCAGGTGCCGCAGGCCTCCCCTGTACCTCGGCCTCAGCTGCGCTCCCGGGCCATGGTGGGAGGGAGACACGACAGTGGGGCATCAAGACTCCAGCGGCCAAGGCGCACCCATCTAAGCACCCTGGGATCTCGGTGGAAAGGAAGGGGGGTTCCGGGGGCCGGGAGAACTACAGAGCTCGGCCGCTGAGCAGAGCATGGGGGGGGGCGGGGGCTCCCTTCCAGCCTCCGGGGTCTGGGGACTTAGGGATGTAAAGGAGAGCAGGGGGGTGTGACAATTCAGCAGAGGTCGGGACGTACCACGGAGCCAAGTGGCGGGGGGGGCAGAGGACGTGGTCACCGAGGGGAGCCCCCGCCCCCCTTCGCAGAAGCCTGCGGCTGGGGTTGCAGGAAGAACTGGAACTGGGCTGGCCGAAGTGGGAAGCGGCGCGTTAAATCCGCCCCCTCTCCATACCCTACTTTCAAGGGGTGGGCGGTAGAGGGGAGGTTGGGGTTGGAGCAGCGGCGAGGGGGCCCCTCCCTTGCACCTCCCCCCACCGGACTTGGTCGCGCCCGAAGTGTAACACTTTCTCTTTGTCGGAGGAGCTCCTCTGTTTCCTGTGCAGTAGCTCCCGTTGCGGCGGCACCCGTGGCAGCCCTGGCGGACGCAGGAGCGATGGCAGCGACCGATATAGCTCGCCAGGTGGTAAGTGCAGAGCTTGGGAGCCAGGGCCAGGGCCGAGGGCCTGGGGAGGGTCAAGGAGACCTGGCCGCCGCCCCCACATCGCGAGGAGGGCAGTGGGCAGCATCCAGGAGCCGAGGGCACGGTGGGACTTCTGCTCCCGGGGTCAGAAGCTCAGTCCCCCAGCCAGTCCCGGAAAACGGTGGTGGCGCGCGGGGGTCGGGGGGCGGCAGGGGTGCTGGCAAAGCCTGCGGGCCGGCGGCTGAACTTGCATTGCCCAAGAGCCGCAGTGAGCGCCGCCGCCTCCCTCGCTGCAGCTGCGGCCCCACGGCTGGGGCGTTGCCGAATGAATGGCCGTAGGAGCCGCCGAGCCCTCCAGGTCCCTGGCACCCTGGCCTTGCCGCGCCCCTGCGCACGGCTGCCCATTGTGACCCGGGACGGCACAGGCAAAGAGGCGCGGGGCTGGGGTTAGCCTGGGGCAGAAGGCTGAGTGGCGAGGGGGGCGGGGAGGTGACTGGCTGGGATAAGGTTTCTCTATATGCATTACATATGTGACTGCGTCTGTGTGTGTATCGGTGTGCGCGTATGTGTGCACGCGCGCGCGCTCGTGTCTTCCCGGGCGGGCGGCGGCGACGCCGGGGTTCTGTCTGTGACCCAAAGAAGTCCGCCTGTTTCTCTGAGTGTGCTCACCTCTGTGGTGTGTGTCCGAACGCCTCTCTCTCTGCTTGTGCTGTGTGCCTCTGGGTCTCGTTTGTGCGTCAGTGTGGGGTGCAGTTGGCTGGCCTGTAGGTGGCTGGCTGCGTATTTTGGCATGTTTTGGAGCGGGCCTCTGAGGATCTGTCTCGGGTGCATGTTCAGTGTAACTGGGCTTGTGTGCCAAAACCTGTGGAGCTGGCTTCTTTCTATGGAGACTCAGGAAAATAAGTGTGAGACTCGCAAAAGCGGTGCCGTCTCTTTTTTTGTTGGCGACCGACTCAGGGGGAAAAAAAAAAAATCTTCATTTAAAGAACTGAAGTTTTCCAGCCTGCGATGTGCAGAGAAACCATGTTGAAGTGACCTGAGGCTCCATGTTTGTTTTTTAGACCAGAAGTTTGGTTGCAAAGGGCGATGAATTCCATTTGGGGGGGGGGACACCCTAGCTTGTCTATTCATCCATGAGTATCTGGGACTTTAAGAAGCCCACCAGCACCCCGAGGTGAGGAAGGAGTGGGAGACAGAGGTAGGTCAAATCCTGTGACACCAAATGCTACTTGACGAAAATCTCTGAACCACATAAAAATGTTTTTCAGCCTTGTAGCTTACTTGTTTAGGAAAACAGTTCATGCAATGCAATTACAGTACAAAAAAAAAAAAAAAAAAGCCTCTAGGTATTTGGTGTAATTGAAATTGATTTTTCAAAATCTGAAGCCAGAATCTGATAGTATTTTCTCTACAGAATATGTATTAATGTATTCCTCTCTTTTGCCCCTGTTTGGAAAGGCAGGATCATTTCTTCGAAACCTCCTCCAGCCCCTGCACACCCTAGCACAGTACACTTTATGCAGTCATGATGTGGAAGGACCAAGAGTAGACGGGAGACATTCTCTGTGATGATGGAATTTGAGAGAATTTTCTTCCCCCAAGATTGGCACTCTCATTGTTTATTGCTTTAGTGTTTTGAGGGCTCCCTCTTTTCTGCTGTGGCTTTTCTGCTCCTGGTTACCTGCATTTCAGAGATGGTATGAAGTAGAGGAATTAATCTCTGGGATTACACTTGCTCCATCCAAAAATGAGGCTAATGATTTTTCATGTCAGCTAATGAATTTGCATCGACCTGTCCTCCATATTCTCACCAGTTTCTCTTGCCTGGATTAGGATTGCAGGGCAGATGTTGCAAAGGGGAACATTCCAGAAGATTGTGTGTGTTTCACCTCAGGCACAACTCAGGCAACCCAGAGATGCCCTTTGTTCTGCAAATGGGGGTGAGGGGGTGGTTTAGGGCCACTTGGTTTGCTTTGCATGGCTCCAGTTTGCTCTGGCTGGCCTTGCCATACTGTATGATGAAGAACATAATTGTACGCCAGATTCTGAAGCTGAAAGAGCAGCCTAAGCACTCGAGACCTTGTTATCGTGATAAATGGGTTTCTGGGAAAACTGACGTCACTCTCCATGTCCCCCTCCCCCAGCCAGTGAAGCTCCTGTTTATGTGTCATTTGTCTCTCTGTTCTCCTTTGTGTCTGCAAGAAGTTGTAATTCACCAGGGAAGACGGAATTAACTCAGGAGACCTTGGACATCTGGTTGCTGCTTGTTTCCTCCAAGGAACATGTATTCAGGGTTTGGGAACAGAAGGCTAGAGAATAAACCTAAGTGTGGCTAGCTTAGGATTCTTTTTTTTTTTTTTTTTGAGACGGAGTCTTGCTCTGTTGCCCAGGCTGGAGTGCAGTGGCACAACCTCTGCTCACTGCCAACCTCAGCCTCCCGGGTTCAAGTGATTCTCCTGCCTCAGCCTCCCGAGTAGCTGGGATTACAGGTGCCTGCCACCACGCCTGGCTAGTTTTTGTATTTTTAGTAGAGACAGGTTTTCACCATGTTGGCCAGGCTTGTCTCGAACTCCTGACCTTGTGATCCGCCCACCTCAGCCTCCCAAAGTGTTGGGATTACAGGCGTGAGCCACCGCTCCCGGCCAAGAATTCTTTTTAATGAGCTCTGAGACGTGGTACCATACGAGTAAGTGCCCTAGTGTGTGTGTGTATGTGTGTAAGCAGTGGTTGTGTTCTTTCTAGAGTCAGTTGAGAGTCACTGTGGGTAAACATCCTTAGTGATTAAAACAAGTCTTGTTGGGTAAGGCTTGTTGGGTAGGGCTTATTTTGCATGCAGCCAACTTTGGAAGTTCAATTCTGGTGCACATAATAGAAGTCCATCCCATTTGAATGAACATCACAAAGGGTTTGGTGTGACAACACCATTTCTCCACTGTGTGCATATTTATTTGATTGAATGATATGTGGCCAGCACTATGGTTAGCCATTGTCAACTGGACAAAAAAAGGTAGTAGGCTTTAAAAAACGTTCGTGATCGGACTGGGCTCGGTGGCTCACACCTGTAATCCCAGCGCTTTGGGAGGCTGAGGTGGGCAGATCATGAGGTCAGGAGTTCAAGACCAGCCTGACCAACATGGTGAAACCCCGTATCTACTAAAAATACAAAAATTAGCCGGCTGTAGTGGCACGTGCCTATAATCCTAGCTACTCAGGAGGCTGAGGTAGGAGAATCGCTTGAACCCTGGAGGCAGAGGTTGCAGTGAGCCGAGATTGCAACACTGCACTCTAGCCTGGGCAAAAGAGCAAGACTCTGTCTCAAAAAAGAAAAAAAAGAGGCCGAGGGGGGCGGATCACGAGGTCAGGAGATTGAGACCAGCCTGGCTAACACGGTTAAACCCCATCTCTACTAAAAATACAAAAAAATTAGCTGGGCGTGGTGGCGGGCATCTGTAGTCCCAGCTACTCCGGAGGCTGAGGGGGTGAACCTGGGAGGTGGTGCTTGCAGTGAGCCAAGATCACGCCACTACACTCCAGCCTGGGCGACAGAGCGAGACTCCGTCTCAAAAAACAAAAACAAAACAAAACAAAACAAAACGTGGCTTTTAAGCTTATAGTCTAGTTGGAGTGACAAATTGTGGACACTGTGAAATAATTAAAGAACTATAGAAGATCTTTGGGATGCCCCACCTCACCTCCTGCCTATGAGATGGCTTGGGCTGCTATTGATATATACTTCGAGAAGTTCCATGACTTGTCCAAGGTAACCAAGGCACAGGGCAGGCCCCAAAAGCTGCATGTGCTGGCTCTTTTAATAAGCTGTTCCTTTCAGTGTTGCATTCTGGGATCCAGACTGTAAATGCTGGCCCATACAAAGAGTATCTGGATGATTCTGGCTTGAACTAGTCCCACAATGTGAACAATGGAGCTTTCTTCAGTGGCAATCTAGGTAGTGGTCGTTCTCCCAAGTGAACCTGCAGGGGCTAACTTTGCCCTACAAAGTTAGCTGGGGTTGGTCTGGGTGAACTGTCTCAGAGCAACTGTCTTCAGGTGGGGAAAAGATTGCTGCTGCACTCTGGTTTTGCTATCATCACGTGGCAGTTACCCTTTGATTCCCTTTGAGGTCTCTGCTTCAGGCGTTCCTACCACCACCTACTAAAGATAGTATCGTACCTCAAACACAGAAAACAAAACCCTATTACCTAGCTCTATTGGTGATACAACACGGAAGAAAGTTTACATGGCCCCAAATATTTAAAAATGTTGATTCTAAATTTGAGGGTTTTTTAAACAGTCATTATTTGAGGGTTTTTTAAACAGTCATTACATTATTTTCTAACTTTTCTGTGGTTTGGGATGTCTCTTTTTCTCTTTTCTTTTTTTTTTTTCCTAAACGGAGTCTTGCTCTGTCGCCAGGCTGGAATGCAGTGGCGCGATCTCAGCTCACTGCAACCTCCGCCTCCGGGGTTCAAGCAATTATCTTTTTTTTGAGATGGAGTCTTTTTTTTTTTTTTTTTTTTTTTTGAGACGGAGTCTCGCTCTGTCGCCCAGGCTGGAGTGCAGTGGCCGGATCTCGGCTCACTGCAAGCTCCGCCTCCGGGGTTTACACCATTCTCCTGCCTCAGCCTCCCGAGTAGCTGGGACTACAGGCGCCCGCCACCTCACCCAGCTAGTTTTTTGTATTTTTTAGTAGAGATGGGGTTTCACCGTGTTAGCCAGGCTGGTCTCTATCTCCTGACCTCGTGATCCGCCTGTCTCGGCCTCCCAAAGTGCTGGGATTACAGGCTTGAGCCACCGCGCCCGGCCCAAGCAATTATCTTGCCTCAGCCTCCCGAGTAGCTGGGATTACAGGTGTGCACCACCATGCCCGGCTAATTTTTGTATTTTTAGTAGAGACAGGGTTTCACCATGTTGGCCAGGCTGGTCTCGAACTCCTGACTTTGTGATCTGCCCGCCTTGTACTCTTAAAGTCCTGGGATTACAGGTGTGAGCCACAGCACCCGGCC